CTCGTCGTGTTCGTGCTACGCCGAACGCGTCGTCTACCCCACCGCCACCGCCACCGGCGAATCGCGTGGCAGCAGTGTGGTGCGGGTATTCGGCCGAGCGACCTCGCCCCTGTGCGAGACCATCCTCACGGCCAGCCTGCCGTCCAAGGCGGCGTGCGACGTCCGCCCAACGGACGTCCACACCTGCTCCATCTCCTGCGAGTGCAACCTCCGTCCGGCATGTTTGCCGAAGCCCCGAGGCAATCTGAAGTACACCCACGTCCTTGAACGTCAGCGAGCCGACTGCCAGGACAACTCCTGTCAGACGTCTGGTGGGTTCGAACCACGACAAACTCATCACCTCCACACCTGCCGTGTGGCAGACTGCGAGCCGAGAGTAGATCGTTGCCTGGCAACGCGACCTAGTTGCGTAGTGGAGTGCTGCCAGGTCAGCCGAATGAACGAAAAGTTGTCGCTAACCTAAACACACTACTGACAGAATTTCAGTACTTGTTTTGTTTTGTCTACTGCAGATTCCCACGTGCGAACCACCGAAGATTACCAAAAAGGAGCAAGGTAGCCAAACGACTGAGTCATCGGAAGATAATTGTGTTTCACAGAATCAAAATTACGAGCGCTACGAGACAACGTCTTGCCGTGTTGAACGTGTCACGCGTCGTAGAACTGCCCCTAGAAGCTACTCATGCGCTCGACCATCTTTGGAGTCGTGTGTTGGAAGGAGTCTCCAAGACTGTAGCTACTATCTAAGTCTAGTTAGACGAAGTGAAAATGACTTGTGGAGTAGAATTGCAGAATGCGAAATGGACCTTGCTGCCTTCGAGTGCATGATGAGCAGCGATGGTGAGTTTGTTTCATGCTATGTAAAATTATTTCTACTGAGACGTTTTCAGTAGACAAAAACGTTTTGCAAATATTGACCACCTCGAAAATTTGTACTACTAATCTTTGTCGGTAGTTCAATTCGAGCTGAAATTTAAGTTTTTTTTATTTGTAGATGCCGACTACATTAGGGAGGCCATTCAGAAGAGCCAAGACCTGATTCGCTGTGACTTTCAGAAGATTCGTTGTTTCTGTGACAATAACGACTCTAGTCACCGCTTTAACGGCAATATTGAGGAGCTATGGCGAGAGACACAGCGAAAACTAGGCGAGGTTCTTCGGATGATGGATAAGATCGACCGAATGAGGAGTCGTGGATGGAAGTGTTAGAGTTTATGACGTTGAGGTTACTAGAAATCCAACAGCCTCCGTTTTTTGTCAAACTTTCTCGATTTTAAATAAATGCATGTTGTTCTTCAAACTGTCTCTATTTAACCAAAGATCAACAGGACCAAGGTGTTTATAAAATTTTTGGAGGCATGTTAAAAATTAGGATAAACTTTTGTGGATAGATTACCGAGAATATCATCACTACTGATAAAATATAAAGTAGCAACGTGTTTGTAGATGAAAAAGAAAACTTGACTGAATGCAATGAAATCAGAGGCACGAATTAAATATATGTGGCTTAATTTATTTAATTATATTTTCTGAGTATACGGGACGAAGCACATTCAGGCTTTTAATAAGCATTTTAATTGTGCGCGATTGTGAGGCAATGGTTAATTAATGAGGTTTAAGTCGTTAATATTGTAGAAATTAAGCAAATCCAAGAGTGCCTCCGAACCTTACTAATGCAAATTTCGTGAATAATGATAAGCGAAACCTATGTTATTTATCAAAATCCGGTAGAATCTGGAATCTGCAAAAAAATACTGCCATGTCTGCAACGGTTCCCGGTACGCGTATGCGCATTTGAAAACTGCAAACGTGATTGCGATAATTGATTTAATTGGCGATCAGTGATTTGAACTGATTACGCTAGCATTTTCGATTAAACACTGCTTCTTTGCCCAAGAAGTCGTTAAAAGCTTTGTTTGAAAGCTTGAGAGACGATCAAAGAGGCGCATTCACAAAACAACCGCTGGTGATTCTGAATCGTTACTCCAAATGCATCGCCGAGTTTTTAATTGCTAATGCATTGCAGTCCTGCAGGACCCAGTTTGCAAGCGAGGTTGATCCGCTGAAGGTGTTTCACTATTCTTAGGATCATAGGTGAACTCCGAGAGACAGCTGATGAGATTATCAATTGACGGTGATTGACGGCAGCCTGAGAGCTCTTGTAAACTGCCGGCATCGACACCAAATGCTCGGAAAAATTCCTAGCGCACAGAATCAAAAAGCATTTGTTGGCTTTTTTAAGCTTCCGACACTGGCACTCAGAAGATAAAAATTTTGAGGTTACTTTGGATCGATATAGTACTTATTTTTATTTCAAAAAAAGTGTTTAAACCTATATGGATATGCGAGCAAATGAATTTGAATTATTTTAGTGTCAAGTTGTAAATTGATCAATTTTGTCTCAAAAATAGCGGCCAGAACTAAATTTTTCACTTTTAAATCAGTGTTTGTGGATTGACTGAAATTGTAAGGCAACGAATAACTCTCCTAACCTTAGCGATTTACCTTTCAAATTTATAAAGTTTTTGTATGATTATCTTTTCTCAAAGCACTCTGATATTTTTAACATGTCCTAATTTCTTCCAAAACTGAATATTACATTAAAATTTGGATGACCAGATCGCTAGAGCACAGCCTAAAACCAAAAAGAGAAATCGTTTTAAATCACAAATAGTTTACTAATAATGAATTACACATAAATGTTGACAGTCCACATCTAACAAAATTTTAGGTTATGCAATGTTGACAATGCAAAATAACCATGGTGGATTCGTGTCATTTTATGGTGGTAAAAGACCATTTACGAAACATTCAGCGCATAATGGCGATCATAAATATCGACTATAAATGCATTAACTAGACAGTAACATAGTGTGCGCGTGCATAAACTAAGTTTTCTTAAAGAATATAAAAAGGATCCCTGCACGCCTCATGAGCTACAATAAGTAAATTATTTCTAAAATAATAACGAAGGTTTATTTTTATTGAAATTCTGTTTTTAAGTTGTTCCCTAATTATTTCGTTTTCGAAGCTACATTAATCGCAGCATTTGTAAATTAGCCAAGTGATAATAAGTTAGCAAATACCAAAAAGAGCAAATTATAAAATTACATCCTTTATAAAATATGCACTTGCAAAATTTAAGGCAACATTTATACGATTATACTTTGCCAAGAAAACACTTGGATTCAATGCTAATTCTACCTCAGAAAATTGTCCTTTGTTTGTAGAAAAGGCGTTAAAATACGGTGCTCCGGTATTGTGTTTTCCTTGGCCATAAATTTCACCATAGACTAGGAAACCTTCTTAGTTTTCCAATTCGCATTAACTATTCGCTCATTAATGTCAAGAAAAAGTCGCTAACTCCAATTTTTGGGCATAAATAAAATATCCAACACACCTAATGCGATTTTTTTTAATGGGCATTGCTTGTTTTTATTGATCTCAATGGGCATTGCTTGTTTATATTAATCTCTAATGCGTTGAACAGTTTCAGATTTCCGGTGTCCATAGTATTTCCCAGAATGAGGGCAGATCGCAAAATCTATATTGGCAATCTTCCTCCCAAAATTCGCTCTGCTGAACTGGAAGAAATATTCTCTAAATATGGAGCAATAGCAGATGTCGATGTGAAGCGTCGTCAGGGTCCTCCCTTTGCCTTTATTGAATTTGAAGACGAAAGGTAATGTGGTTTACTCGTTTATTCTTGCAGGGACGCTGAGGATGCCGTTCGCGCCTGTGATGGCTATAAGATAGATGGTTACGCACTTCGCGTGGAATACCCTCGAGGTAGGAGCTTCAACTCTTTCCGGCGTGGTGGCGGTCGTGGAAGTGGCCCTTCTCGACGCTCCGATTACCGTGTGATTGTAACCAATCTTCCACCCTCTGGAAGCTGGCAAGACCTAAAGGATCACATGCGCGAAGCCGGTGATGTCGGCTTTGCTGATGTCTTCAAAGATGGGTCAGGTGTGGTTGAATTTTTACGCTATGAAGACATGAAGTACGCCCTCAAGAAGTTGGACGATTCGAAGTTTCGATCGCACGAGGTAAGGCCACCTTTTTGGCCAAACTTATTCTTAGGGTGAAACTTCGTACATTCGCGTGCGTGAGGAGCGCCAGTACTCTCGGTCAAGGTCAAGATCCCGTTCGTATACCTCCCCGAGAAACCGTGGCCGCTATTCTAATAGCCGCTCTGGTTCCCGTTCTTCTAGCCCTCGTCGCTAAGTGTGCTGACTGTTTAAAGTGTGAGGTGTGCGCTCGGTTTATGCTCTTTCCTTTTTACTACAAAGTAAAATTCGACTTGCCTAACGTTTCCCCTTCTCTTTTGAAGGTTCATGGTGGACATGGACACGCTAGTGACACGGATTTTGCCGTTTTTGTCGGACACCTAGGTCTATGGATCACTGTCGAGAGGATGGCTGTTATCGCCAAAATATGAGCTGTCATGTAACTGGATTCAACTCAAAGTGAATAGATCAAAGTGGTGGATCACGTTAGGCAGTCAGCGGATGTTGACTTTGGATCTGAGAGCGGATAGGACTAGGATGTCGGATGTTTTGATCAGTCTCCAATACTGATCTGTTAACAGAATCAGCATCGGATTCGTTGCGATGTCGTCTCCAACTGGTTTGGATGTTTAGGATTCACGGCGAAAAATTTTCCAGGAAACATTACGATAACATGGTGGAATTGGACTGAAGGTTACCCGTGGATCATTGTGGACGTAATTTTATCATGAAGTGAACTCGTTTTATGGATGGTCTGGCAAATGTGGATTGGAAGTCTCGGGCCTTTTTTAAATGAAGTGAGGTTCCTGCTTTTAGCTGCATGCAGATTCATAATTGGCAAATTATGATGATTAATAAAGCGTTCCATTATGAGATAATTTGTCTTTCCCCACGCGAAGAGCACAATGTGTTGTGACGGTCTTTTAGGTATTCGCAACATTCTAGTTTCGACCATGAATGGTCCCCCACACGGCTAGGTTGTTAACGCCAATGTTCTGGCGGAGTCCTCTTCCGTCTCGTGTGGTATGTTGACGGACTGATACTAACAGCTAGGCCGTTCTCACTTTCGAAATGGTCGCCGTGGGGCCAGCTCGTCAATTTGCGCAGTTGCCCTTTCCTAAAGCAAATTTAAATTTTTAACCCTCGGCTGCTCTTTTGGTTTCGTGTTGAATGCTTAAGCGGGGCGTTTTCGTCAACCTCGTAGTTTAGAAGACCGTGCAGTCACAAGCGTTGTGCATCCTTTCAGCCACTTTCGCTTACAGAACGGCCTTAGGCAATGACAGGAAGGCTGGGGCTCTACCAAATTGTTCTTCCTTAAAAAGGAATCACATGTCTTGATTTAGATGACAGCGCTTTCGAGCCACCCTGGCCAGCTTGATATCACTCAGTTATGGTTAAGAGGTCGATTTCGTCTTCGGGGATTCTTATAGCTTGTGCAAATACGAGAAGGCTGATTATGTGGGCTTCCAATATCGCCAAGCAGACGTACATTGGGAATCTGTTCACTCTGTGGGAATTGAGAAGCAAAGATCATTGCAAGAAAAATTTAAGATCTTATACAATGTTACGTCAGTGTGCGCCACATGGCCTCCCTCAATTATCTTACTGAACTCGTAGTTTAACAGCAACGATGAACAACACTAAGAGAACTTCTGCCAGCAGTAGAAACTGAATGTGGCGGCCAATTGCCCTTAATACTTCAGCATTTCCTCACACCCACTTCACCTACATTGCTAGCGAAAACATCTTTTATCTGAAAATCAATCTCTGAAAAAAAACGCCGGATACCTAACTTAATGAGTCCTAAGTATTATCCCAATACAGCTCCCGAAATTGTCTCAAGCTTCATTCATTTACTTACAGCGATGTTACAATATTTAGAAGGTCAACAACCTCTGGAAAAATTTATCTTAAGAGCCACTGAAAAATTCGTCTGGTTACTCTACTGAGAGTGCCCCTAGTCGCCTAAACAGGCTTACAATATATATCAAAACTATTCCGTAAACTGACAGACGTTATGACATTTAGATTAGATTTAGAACCCGAGTTAAATCATGATTTGCAGACTACCTATATCCTTTTTACTGAATGGAGCAAGTTCCCACGGAAACAGAAGTCAAGGAATCAACAGAAAAAAGGCCAAAGTATTAAATCGTACATGTTATTCGCCAAAACTACATGTTACAAAGCAAATTGTGACAATAAAACCTACTAATGGAGATCTCCTGTCTAGTGGTACTTGGCGTGACGTTCAGTCTGGTGAGATTTATAATTGATGACATACTGACAAAGAGCGAAGACACACCCAAGGTGAAAGAAAGGAACTAGTGTAGTGTTGCGCGGATAAATCCACCTGAGCCGGTAACGCCATGTGAACCGAGCGAGTGCCCTCATATAATACATTGGGTCGAGACTGCGAGTCTTCAGCCATGCTTTAAGGTCCCCTAATTTTACATCACCTAGTTTGGTCTCTTTTGGTCCGTAGTAGTAACCGGGAAAATATGCTCCATGAACTCTAACATTGTACTCTTTGGGGAGCAAGCCGAGCCCGTTCATTCCGAAAAACGTCACTGGATCCGAAAGTGGCGCTTCTTAAAATGACTACATCAGAACGAGTGATTGTTACCTAAAAGCTTTACTGGAAATTTAGATTAGTGTGATTAAAAAGCATACCTAAATGTGTCTTTTAAAAAAATATAAGGCCTATGAGCAATAAAATTTGAACGCTAGTGAAATCGACTATTGATTTAAAAGTTAAAACTTGTGGCATTTTTTGTCAGTTTACCATAATTTTCAGTATTAATCTAGGAAATTAGACCCATTTAGTCGAGATACAGTAAAAAATTCCTAATTTGATGCCTTTATTACCTAGAATTTTATTTGTATTTAGAATTGATTAAATGATTGAATTGACCTGTACCGCGATATCGATTGAAAAACTGCGGTGGTATCAAAAGTGGTGGAAGAAATTTTTTGAAGATGTTACTGTGCAGCATTTTCATTGACTGCTTGGTTTTTGAAAATATTTTCTTATTTAAGTGTTTTCATAGGAATTAATATCTTCCGCCCGTGCGAACTTTCATAAATTTCAGAGATTTGTAGACTGATCCTAATGTGAACCCAATATTCTTGTTTAAACCTCTTACCATTAATTTTGATTTGTATAATTTTATTTGTCCTGATAATAGGTTTTTCACAATCTTAAAATACATCATTTCACGTGATATCATTGAAAGGAATTGTGTGCAAAAATATGCAGAAAACATTGTAAAAATCTGTGAGAATTTTTTTACTTTTGGCTGGTAATTTAGTATCTAAGGCAATATTCTGAACTCACTTGTTCCAGGAACACTTGGCAGTTAAAAGATGTGACTGTGGATTCTTTTGAGATAAAATTTTAAGATATTCTTCACATTGCATCAATTCCCGTGTTATTAAAAAGGGCACAGGATTAAGCATTTTGCAAAACGTTGCTCAACTGACTATTCCAGCCTATTTTCAAACTTCTAAGAATAAGGTTTTTATCACTTCAGAGGCTTATAGAGGACGCAATTAGGCCTAATAACAGCACACAGATTTTTATTGTAATGATCTAATTTGTCTTCAATGAAAGTAAAATTTTTTTGAGCAATAGCATGAGATTCAGAAACTTCCAAAACTGGTGCATACTTCGTAACATCGATTTTGAATACATTTTTTGATTTCTATTCAATATATTTTTTAAAAAACTGCTCATATTTTCACCAATAACCAAAAATTTTGATTAAAGATAAGTTTTTTCGAATTTCATAGACATTTAGCCATCATGAAAATTAAATTTTGAACTGATTTATAACAAAAACGATTATTTAATGTCAATTATATGTAGTGAAAATAAGGTGACTAAACAATTCTTTATATAACATTCGTGACTCCTTTAGTGTTCGAGTCATATGCAAACGGCAATCACGAGCCATGACGTTTATTTTCCAAATGCGTTTTAAATGTGGTAATTTACTATAATTCAACACTTTAGGAAAAGAATAAAAGCCCGTATTCTATTTAAAAAAATTTATTTATTGGTTAGTTAACTTATTTTACTACTCAGCTTTGGAATGTGTAATCTGATTTAGCTTTTGACATATTTAGGTTTTAGTTGAAATATTAAAACGGAAAACAAAACTTGCAAAATCTCAACCAAGCACAAAGTTTGTTTTTCTGTGTTAATTACTTCACCATTATTACTTTCGAAGTCTTTTGATTTTTTGTCAACATGTTAGTAGCTCAAGTGCAGCAAATGACTTTTTGTTTTGAACTAAAAATTTTGACAGTCAGTCAGCGACAAATCTGCAGTGTAACATGTCAGTCGATGCAACGTAGAATTTAACTAAGTTTTTGCATTCTTGAGACATTCTTTAATTTGAATTTCCGTCTGCATGCGTATACTTTTCCACCATTTATCGATTGCTGCAGATGTCTTTATGTGGCTCTTTTCTGATTACTAAGAGGAACGTTATTCTTAATGATATATAAGCACATCATTACGAGTTGAATGAATTTTCACCTGATTCAAACAAAATTGTTTAGCCATTCGTTTCGTCCCGATTCTAGTGAATTTAAGCCTTTGTGGTTTCCAGTAATTTATTGTTTCTGAAGCATTTTAAATTTCACTGTGGTTGCATTAATGTAAACAAAAAGACGCAAAATGATTTTTATGCAACTTGAAAAAGTCGTGCTGATTAGCGTCCATTAATCTGGTGGTCGAATAATTGGGAGTCGTTGTCCCGCTTTTTACACGGTGACTCAATCAATCATGCGGAACCGTCTATTCGCACAAAACTGTGCAAGTACCGTCTTCTCTACCAAGTCCACTTACTTGACAACTCAGTCATTTGTAAATCTAAAAGGCCACGCAGGCTGCACTGACCAACTTAACCACTTAAGTATTGTAACACCCACCATATCCTGCATTTCAACAGTTAGTGACTTCTACTTTGAATGAGTTTGACCTTCTGGAAGATGGCAAAGAGTGATCTTTTGCTACCAATTAGATGATGTTTTGGCGGACAATCGTTTCTCATCAACCACGCTAACGATTTAGTCAACATGGCTTTAACTTGTGACGCTATCTACCAGATTTCATTTCATAATTCGTGTTTAGTTGCAACGTCATCATCAAATCTACTCACAAATTCTAACAGCTCAAATCATCTTTGACGGTGAATAGTCGATCAAGCTTTCAGAAATCCTACAAATCTGGCGAATATTATGAATCCTCTGAAAATTACTTGTCGCCATCCAACACGCTCAGTCCAAATGCAAAGAAACCCACGCCATGCTCAAACTCTTTTCATACCGTCCCTAATGATTATGGGGAACCCTCTGTCTCTGCTGCCCCGTGCAGACGCAGCCCTCGCTACACATTTTACTCACATGGCAATTTCAGCATGTGTACTTTTATTAATTCACTTAGACTGAATTGCCATCACAACCACTAAAAATTCACTTGTAGAAGATCCGCCATAATCCAAGATGAAAAAATCGATAGAAGAGGGGTGACCAGCACGTGATCACTCGCATTAATTGTGAGTGAACATTAATCTAATCGATAATTTTGAATGCACTTCACAAGGCCATGTTGGTCTGAAATATTGACATCAGGCGCGTTATATTTAACTTGATGCGTAGAGGACCAAACTGTGGTTTCCTCTGAAGTTATATTTACAAAGATTTGCAGAATAAGATCACGTTAGAGTATTTAAAATTGAGGAAGAGTTTCCGATAATTGGACTTACATTTCCTCGCTTACATTTGATCCATTGTAATTCCCTGTTTCTAGTGTTTGTTCATATAAGTTTATTTTTTTTTCACTCATTCAAATCACCCAATCGGGAAGCTGAAAGCAGAAGTCGAAACCACATTACCTGATTTTCGTAGGCTTACTACACTGACATTTCGCTCAGGTAATGTATGCGGTTGCCATGGTAGAATCGTTTTAATTTGTACTCGTGTTTCACTTCTATCTAGAATTCAACGACGCCTAAGTCTGGCATCACATCCTTTTGGATAATGGGTGTGAGGTTCATGTAAAGCGACTACAGTCCGTTTAAAAAAAAACATGTAGGCAGTTGTCATCTGTTGCGTTTGCCGGCAAATAAAACACACGCCCAAAGGGTGTGAGCGCGCCAGTCCTGTGTTTAACTTCTCTCACAACATTTCCAGAACTATAGCAAAGAAATGACTTCGTGCAGGGGAGGCTGAGAAGCACGTCCAAATGTCTCCAATCATGAACGTTTTAGGCGACCTTAGGAGTGGAAATAACACACAGCACATTTAAAGTTGCAGAAAATATGACACTGCGACAAACAGGATTTCCAACTTAATCGTAACGTAAAATCTTTCAGCTTTGAAGGGAATTAACGCATCGTTCTGGTAGCAGAATTGGTTAATTTGGAGATCTTAAGGGGTTTCACGAAAGTTACCAGTTTGCCAATAACAGATTCCTTGTTTGGTGAATTACTCTAATTTCCGATTAACGTCTCACGTATTACACTTATTTTTATGGTTTTTTGTACATGGTTATACACATAATCATCCTTTTTATCTGTCGATGAACAGTAAGATCATTTCTGAAACCGAAGAAGTCAGAGATAAGGGGATGCGGTGTGCCTGCGTATCAGCCAATTACGTGTTTGGAGAAATTCAGCCAATCACGCGTATGCTGAAGGGCAGCCAATCAGTAAACGACAATTAGGGGCGTTGGTGCGGCATGAGTGCGTCATGCGTTAAATTTGACATTAGAATCATGTTGGGAATGCGGGCATCCTTTACCTCATCTGAAGTCACCATTTGCTACTTAAAGCGATGGAATACAGTGGTCTGAGGTTCAATTAGTGCTGTCCTTGCCTGCCTTGAAAGTTGGCGAATTTTAATCCGGGGTGAGACTGAATTTCTGTTGACAAATAACCACGGCTACACCCTAATAAATTAGCATCAAGTCAACGGTACCTCGTGGGGGCTAGTTGATAAATTCAGTGTCGGCAACACCAAAGGCCTTCAAGCAGACACGCCTTTAGCACTGGGGGGATGATTTGGCTCCTGTTGGCCTCACCAGTCGCAACACTCGAATTTCTCTAAAAAGCTCCAACTCCCGTCTCAGGGTCGTTGCCATGGTCAAGAAAATAAACCTCAGAAACTTGGTATTGACGCCACCACGCCCTTGGAAAAAAAATGGATACCATAGTGTAGTAGCTTCGTCTCATTAGAAGGATTGGCAATTTCTGCTGACATTTGGTGTCGATTCTTAGCGAGTAAACATCAACTATGCAAATCGAGGCACCCAATTTTGGCCTGTATCTGGGTCGTGTGTACGTACTTGAATTCACCAGCTGGCAAGTTGTTTTTCTATCCAGTCAAATCATGCAAAATAGACTATGGGGATTGATTCTCAGGCCGTGATTGTGTACAAAATGCGCAGTCCAGATTTGCCAAAAATTATCAACCAATTCTGGGCTAATTGATTAGTTACGAGGGTACGGTATGACTTGGGTCAACCTCGTGACTTCCAGCCTGAAGGGCCTCTTAAAACATCGATTGCAATCTGACTACTTTTTACGACAAATACTTGTCTTGAGACCATGCTTGAACTCTTGACGCTCTCAGACAATAAATCAATAAGGTGTCTCACGGTTACCTATGCTAGGTAGAGTCGAATGTTCGCCAACCAGTACGCCAATCGCGGCGCAACTTCCCACGTCTGGAAGTTCTACCACAGTCAATTCTTCGGTAGCCCGAGAAAAGTGTTCGTATATTCCGATGGTTCTGCACACAGGTAGCACGTGATGCATACCTCTCTTTTAGACCAATTGGTGAAAACACAGTCTAGCGCGAAATTCCACGATTGGGCTACGGACAACTTGCACGGACGTGATATCGTTTGTTTGCATTCCTTAAATTGGTTTGTAAGCACACGATAACGCTTGTTTATTTAAGGTGGATGTGTTTAGCGTTAACTTCAAATTAACTCGATATTACCTGGACAAACCATAAACAGAATGATTTTGAAAATGGATCTATCACGGTTATTTGTTGGCAGGCGATTCAGCAAAACAACGGAAAACCGATCATGAGGGAGATAGTTTACGAAGGTGATGTCACCCTAACGTATCCTGCTTTATCGATTATCCTGC